TCTATCTATCTATCTATCTATCTATCTATCTATCTATCTATCTACTCTATCGCGCGCGCGCGCACTCGCTCGCACGAAATGTCCCTCTTTCCACTTAACCATGCAGTTAAGGCACATCAACACGTGCAAGTTGACCGCACGCATCACACAGTCACAGACTCAGAACTCAACCCCACCAACTTCACTCAATAGGAAGCAGGAAGAGGTAGACCACATTCAGAAGACAGAAGGTTGACTGACCTGAGCCCCACTGTTTTCCGTGTTTTCGAGTCAGGTTTGTAGGAAAACCACGACCTTTTGAGCCAGACTTATGAGCCATCCATGAGAGTGGACAGCAAGCAAACCAACAGCCCAAAAGTGGGAGGAGGGGGTAGGTGCTGTAAACTACTGATGCAAAAAATCCCTGTTCAAGAAAAGTTCACCATTGACATGCCTTGCAGTGTTTTCAGTTCTTCTGAGAAGCCACTTATGAGGCTCCAACAACCTGCCAACTTTGACTTGAGTGCATCATTCTTGCACAGGGGCCAGATAAATCTTCTTGGAATCGTTCAGTTTTTAACTGACAGATATCCCAGAGGCCAAAAAAAATTATGCAAAATTGACCCTTCGAAGACCCATGACACTGCTCACAGTGTTAACCCCAAGGACGGAAAAGGGGAGGTGCTCATTGACCAGATGTGCCACAAAGTCCTTGCCTTCTTCAACCTCAAACCAACCCAACCATCAGCCACATCAACAACGCTGAGAACAACAGCGATTCTTGTGACATCAAGAATCTGCAACAAGCAGACCTCGTGCAGCTATGGGATGCAAGGCACATGATGACACATTAAACAATAAGGAAAGTACAAGTGGACCCGCCGCGGCTCCGCTCGCCGCGAAAAGGTCAGAGGTGGTGAGAAAATCGGGGAAAGGATGTAGAAAATGGAAAAGTTTGATATTTGATGGGGAGGGGGAAAAAAAAAAAAAAAAAAAAAAAAGGAAAAAAAGCTCATATGAGCTGTGAGAAATTCGAACCAAAAATTTTTTTGCCAATATATGCATGTAGACAAAATCATTCAACTTATGGAAACCGAAGATAGATCATTAGCCAAGTGATTGAAATGATAGTGGATGTGCCTCTCTCTCTTTCTCTCTGTCTCTTTTTCCCTCTGTCTCTTTCTTTCTCTGCCTCTTTCTCTTTCTCTCCATTTCTGTTTTTTTCTGTTTCCCCATCTCTCTCTCGTCTTTATGCCTGTCCTCTTTCTGTTTCTTGGCGAACTGGATTTCATCGAACCGAGCGGGAAGGAGCATGCGTCAGCGCACTGAGTTGCAGCTATTGTCTTGTCTCCATGTCTTGTCGAATGAAGCAGCGCCCGGAACCGTTGTCGTGTTGTTTGCTGGCTTTTCGTGAGCAGGCCGATGTCATGCGAGCCCTCCCCATCCCGATCTCCCCATCCTGACTTATGCCCCCTCCTCCCTCTGCCCCCCTTCCCTCGCCTCCCCTCCCCCCCGTTCCACAATCTTGACCTCCGTATGATCGCGTCGCGCACCTGACCTCCCCCCCTCGATCCCGACCTTCCCCCTCGCYTATCCCGACCTCCTCGCGCCCATCCCGACTCGGTCAATCATTCAAAAAAAAAAAAAAAAAAGGAAGTAAAAAAAAAACGGAA